GGGGTGACACCGCGCACGGCCGCGGCCCGGGGCTGGAGCACGCCGAGAAAGACCGCCGGACACCGGCAGGGGGAAAAGCTCTCAGAAAGGCGGGGGTGGTGGTGGTGGTGGTGGTGGTGTGTGTGAATGCAACAGCATCCAAACTCAGCGTTTACCAGCCTGGCGTTAATAGCAGCATTTGATGTAAACCGCCGAGATCTCGTTTTACGGGTCTGACCCCGTGAGCCTCACGGTCTGGTGAGATGCACCGCTACGACCTGAGCTGATCGAGGAGAATGTACCTGTGCACGGCTAGGGGTCGGGATCTGTGCAGCCTGCGGATGATAAAGATACAAACTTCAGTGGGATGAGTTTTCAGAATTTGAAGAAAATTCTTAGCCAAGCCTCATAAGGATACTTTTAAAGATACTGAAAACTAAAAAAACCTGAAATATCTCAAAAATAATTATTATTCAGCATCAGGGAGTGTATTAGGGAGATCTAATCTTGGTCTATTTCTTTTTTTTAGCACGTATTTGCTCCCCAGTGATGCTTGTTGTCAGCTCATAAAGATACACTGGAAAAGCACAGTAGTTCTGAAATATGGTTACCTGCATGTGGTCCATCTGGTAATATTGGGTACCACAGTGCAATCTATTTATGTGGAAATTAGGACCATCATCTCCCTTAAATGCCTTTCTATCTCTGGCAAGTCAGCGACAGAGGTAATTAGCTGCCCTCAGACTGCCCGGTAAGCCTTCGATGTATAAATTGCCCATTCACTCGGATGTGAATTATTTTTAACATCCTGTCCTTTGTCATAAAAGCATCATTATGAACACATGAAGGGATTAGGAGGGATAGGTAGTGTAAGCCTCACGGTTTTTTCAAATAATGGATGAGCTATGCCGAGGTGTCTCCACCTCCTCGAAAGGATACACGTTGCCAGTTGGCTAGCGGCAAACATTTCCCGCACTCCCCTTTGGCTGCTACGGCAAGACTGATGCACTGAGTGTACAAAGAAGAGCATACATACACTGCCTTCTCTCTAATATACCTACATGAAGGGTTATTGCTTCTCTGTTTGCACTGGACAGAGATCATAACCAATATAAAAATGGGTACCCAAAACAGGTTGTCCTGCTAAAAGAGAAGGGCGAGATCTTCAGAAGCACACCTGTATTGCTCAGCTCTACTCCCATGCTCACCTTCCGCAGCCCAAACTAGCAGCATCCCACAGCTCTGTAGGATGGCCCATCATTTCTGCCTGGCACAGCCATCCTCATGTGGAGAAACTCCCTTTGCCACGCTGACTGTCAGGCTGTGCTCTGCCAGGATCTCATGGTTATTTAGAGCTCCCGTTCTGGCAAACATAGTGGCTTCTCGCTCAGTGCAGGCTTGCTCTCAGACCCTGACTCCTTTCTCAAGGCGTGTAAATTGCACTAGTAGAGTTTGTCTAGAGCTGATCTGTTCAACACTAAGCTTAGCCCGCTGCATGGGGAAATGCCCTGCCCGTTCCTGGGGCGAGAGGGAGGCACGGCTGTCTGTGGTGAGCAGCAAGGCTCAGGCGCTTGTGTGCCTTTAACTTGTTCCATCGTGATCGGGCAGGGGCGGCCATCAGCACATTTTGGGAGCCTTGCTTCTTATAGCTTCTTTATCTAATTGGGCTGATGACCAGGGGCTTGGGAAACCAAGCAGATAGTTGTATTGGTTTCTGCAGGTAGTCTTTCACATATGTGTGTTCAAAAGCAGTTGAAGCAGGCTTAGTCAGCTGCGGCTTGGACAGCGACCCTTTCCCCAGACGTTCATGCTTCCCAGGGAGATCATCATTGTGCTGTATTGAGGGAGGCCAGCAGAACAGCGTCCCTGGGAAATGACTGTGAACAATTTCAAGCAAATACGTTGCCCCTCTTGTGCATAAACTATGAAAGCTGTCAACCTTTCTTCTTTTTCTCTTCTTCTTTCTGACAAGCAGTCTTATTTCAAAGGTTTCCATACTCTGGCCAGGTGTTACCAAAGTGACCAGAGACTTGGGGTATCCCCATTTTTGAGTGTCTACCTGGAGACAGCATGGTCAAGGGGCTTGTTTTTGGCCCTGTACTCAGCTTTTGCCCTTCTTAGTTTAGCACACACAAAGCAAGGTATCTGGAACAAGTGCTGAGAGAGGTTGTGGAGTCGCCATCCTTGGAATTATTTAAAACTCAGCTGAGCAGGGACATGGGCAACCTCCTCGGCATTTTAGGTTACTCCTGCTTTGAACGGGAGGTTGGACCAGATGCCTTCCAGAGGTCCTCTCCAAACCAGATTTTTCTAGGCATCAGTTGTGCTCCAGGGTTTGGAGGAGAAGCCTGTGATTCTTGCTGGGGAAGGAAACAGTTTCTGCAGAGCCTGAACTGGAATACACTGACTTATTTGAAGACTTCTTTAACCTTCAGCCAGTAGTCATGATAGAGTGGTTCCACCAACGCTGTTGGACTTGCAGAGGGAACTTTGGTCTCCCAAGTGCCCTCTGGATATCTTCAGCTCACAGTCGGTGAGATGGTGCTAGTGAGGAATTATGATGTGAAAGTGCTGAAGTTCCTCTGAGAAAGCCTGCACTTGGGTGGTGTGTTGCTGCCTTGTAACCAGTGAGAAAGGATTGATACGGCATATTTGACGCAGCAGAAAAATGACCACTGCTTCTTTTCTTGTACATGGGAGAATGAGACAGACATCTATAAGGCAGCATAAAATGCCTAGACCAGGTCACAGTACTCTTCTGCAGTTTCGTTCTCATGAGATGTTGCAAATAGACCTTAATTTTAGCAGGATCTCTGTGAAAAACGTTTTTTTTTTCCTTCTAGGATCCTGCTCTGTTCACTTTAAGAAGACTGTATCCTCAAATGTCTGTAAAAGCTTTTGGCCTCAGGTTTTCATTAACTTATCTGCCTTCTCTTTGCAGACATGAATGAGGAGCGGTTGGGTGATGCCAGTGGAGCAGACAATGCTGAGACCTACAGTGACAAAGACACAGACCAAAGGAGTTCCCCAGACATGACTAAAGCCAAAAGTTGCTTCACCCCAGAAAGCCCGGAAATTGTTTCAGTGGATGAGGTTGGTTATGCAGTTCAGAAAAATGGTGGGAACACAGAAAGCCGTCCAGACAGCCCCAAGTACCACCCAGAGCAGAACCACCTCCTGATAGAAGGTCCTTCCGGGACAGTTTCTTTACCTTTCAGTTTGAAAGCCAACAGACCTCCACTTGAAGTCTTGAAAAAGATCTTCCCTAACCAAAAGCCAACTGTGCTGGAGTTGATCCTGAAGGGGTGCGGCGGTGATCTGGTGAGTGCTGTAGAGGTTCTCCTGTCCAGTCGGTCTTCGGTGGCCAGTGGGGAGAGAACTTCTGCAGAATCCGATGGTCTCATTTTGCCTTCCAATGGGCACATTTTTGAACACACGCTGAGTTCGTACCCTATTTCCTCTTCCAAGTGGTCCGTGGGCTCAGCATTTAGGGTTCCTGACACACTGAGGTTCTCTGCTGATTCCAGTAATGTTGTGCCAAATCCTCTGGCCGTACCTTTGCAGCACCCTTTCCCTCAGCCACCACGCTACCCACTGATGTTGAGGAACACTTTGGCAAGAAACCAGTCCAGCCCGTTCCTGCCCAATGACGTCACCCTGTGGAACACCATGACGCTGCAGCAGCAGTACCAGCTGCGGTCCCAGTATGTCAGTCCTTTCTCTAGCAACTCAGCCAGCGTTTTCCGAAGCTCGCCTGTCCTTCCTTCCCGCTCGTCAGAAGATCCTAGGATCTCAATCCCTGATGACGGGTGTCCTATTGTGTCTAAGCAACCGATTTACACAGAAGATGAGTATGATGAAAGGTCTGATTCTTCAGACTCAAGAATACTCAACACATCTTCTTAGACTGACATACGACATGTGATAGCTAAGTGATACTTGCAGTGCAGCTGAACTACTGGGCCCTAAGAGGAGGGACATGTACTCTACGAAACCCTTGCAATTGTATTAAAAAGTGACTTTGCTTGGTATTGTACTATAGCAATAAAGACATAACTTATTTAATTTCTTGCACTTCACTGGATAATGCCAAATAGCAATACTCTGGCTTTAGCGCTGAGTGTGTGTTACAAAGGAAGACTTTACGGCTATCAGTTATGGGACTCTGGAAGACTCATGATGGAAACAGAAGCCCAAGGTCTACTTTGTTCCTTAACTCAGAAAAATGGGGATGTTAAACCAGAATACTTGAATGCTGTTTTATAAGAGAGAACTCCTCAGGACATAAGAAATCACACAAACGTAGTTCAATTGCAAATGGACTAAAACAAGGACCTTAACAATCTTATGCCAGTGATCATCCTTGCAGTGAAAGAAAAGGCAGAAGAAAGAAACATGCACATGAAACTAGCATGAGCTGCTTCTGCGCCGTTTGAGCTTGAACACTTTTCAGAGAAATAATGTTAAGAGTTATTCTTTTCCCATGTCTAGGTCAAAATGTGTAATGTCAGTGTAAAACCAATTACAGCTGTGAATTGCATGAAGTGTATTGTGAAATGAACACAAGATTAAACATTGTCAGGTTAATGTAGCATGCTAAGGACTCTAGAAAAATAAACTAAGATGATGATCTTGGTTTATGTCATTTATACTGGGCAAATAACATTTCTGAAGATAGAGAGCTGATTAATCCTCAGCCGAGGTTAAAATGTCCAGCTCCAGCAACTGCAGTCAAGGGAAGCCTCTTCTTCCAAGTCCAGGTTCTGCTTCCCTGCCTTGTAGCTTGCGACTGAGATAAGGCAAATGTTGTCATCAGGGAAGCTGAGGTCTCTTGGGTATGTACTGCAGACACTTCCAAGCTCAGCTGAGTAAAGCAGAGCTTGCTACAGTCACAGCAAGCAGAAAAAAAGTCTCTCCCGATGCTTCAGAAGCATCTTTTTTCCTATACTGTAGAAGTAGAAAAAAGGAGATAGGTTATAATAGCAGGTATTTCTTTAAAATAATGTTTAGCCAAATGGCAACTTCCCTAAATCTAGAAATGTAATGGTTTGGAACAATTTATTGCATGTTTGCATGCATTGATTACACTGCATATCTTAGGTGTGTCAGAGTAACATTAGGAATTGCTTCAGATGAGGAATGCTACTAAATTAATTGTCCACTTAGAAGTTTGTTAAGGTTTTAGTGCCATTTTTTCAACAGTTCATAAGTGACCGCATCTGCTTGACAGTTGGCTTTTCCAAAAGACACCTCTGAATGCAGATGAAATGGCCGTCAGACCTGTCAGGTGTATGGATTAGTCCCACACTTCAAAAACAATTGAGGCTGCCCTGAAGTTGGAGTCTAAAGCAGATGTGCTTTAAAAATGTAATATATATCAGGCATGTTATCTGGTGTCATTGCTGATACAAATGCCTGTGTTCTCATTTGGCATTTCATATTTTGTAAGGTTTGTGCACCCAGTGAATCTTGTATTTTATAAGGGTACTGAACACGCACAAAAAGGAGAATAAAATAAATAATTATTTTATTTTCTTTAGGGGATAAATGAACAGAAAGATACTTTTTCTTGCGTATTTTTCCAACCTGTTCAGAAAAGCAATTTGTTGATAATGCTACAGAGCAAAGACATAAAGGCAGGTGGAGGGAGGAAAGAAAATAAATAGCTTCTCTTATGGAAGTGTAAATGTGAAAACATCTGAAATCTTCATAAATGCAGAATTACAGTTTTGTACTGACAGATTTGCCTGTACTCACATGGCACTTGTAAACAAATTCATCTTCCAGCCACTCCAGAGAAAAACCTAATAGGCAAAATAGACTTGATCTTGCAAACAGAAAGGGATGAGGTAGTGAAACACTGTGCTCCAACATCATGGAGGAATTAAGTGTCAAAGGCTAGATTAGAGCAGATAGGTCCAGGAGCTCTGGTTCTGAGCTCACACACCAAGCAGATTTCCCTCCAGCAGAAACCTTTGTATAGGCATCCCTGTACATTGAATGAAATATTTTTTTTTTTCTTTTTTCTTTTTTTTTCTACAGAGGGCCAATCATCTCCAGCAGAAAGACCAGACAGTGGTGCCTGCGACAGCTCATAGTGACCTTACACACTATGGCCTGTGGGTTTTCAGAGAACAGAATTTTGGCATCTTGGAATTGGGACACATCTTTCAAAGAAAGGTGACCCTTGGCTAAACTGGAGTGAACAATTATAACTCTAAATACTTGTGGTGAAAAACACAGATTTGGCCGTATGATTTTTTGATTAGATCTCTTTTGATAAACTGTTTTCTGAAAAAGCAAACAAGTTAAAATAATCCTTGTCCAGTGTTATAAATTATCTTTTGACTCAATGCACAATTCTATTTTTTTTTAAATAAAGTAAACCTAAATGTGTTCAAAATAAAAAATGCAAGTTTTGATGTTGAACAACGTTTTTTGTTTGACCACACAATATTTTCACTCTCCAGAAGATTAATTTTTTTAAAAAATACGGATTGGCCTGCAACGATATCTTTGATAAATTACTTTATTCACCCAGTTCTATTTTCCAGGCTGGCACTACAGGCAAATATAATTTTATCTTCTAGCCGCCACACAGCAAGGATCCCTTGGCGTGTTGGCAGGACCTCTTTCTGCCGGCACAGTGCTGGGACCTGTTCCTCAGACCCACGCCGTGCTGGTGGGAGATGCCCACCCGCTCCCACCCTTGCAGCATGGGCAACCGAGGGGCGAGGGAGCCCCTTTTCTGCAGGACCCCTGGGCGCCCCATCCAGCCGGGGCCCGCGGCGGCCACCCTAGAGCTGGTGGGCCCCATTCTGGCTCAGGCCCTGCTTTTACCGGGGCCGGTGACAGCTGTGTCACCTCAGCTGGCAGCAGCGGGGCTGCGTCCTGAGCCTGCAGAGCGCCCGCGGCGGTGCAGCATCCTTTCCCACGGCTCCGGGGTCCGGGTGGAGGGCTGCGGGTACGGCGCCCAAACCCTGCGTTTTCCAGCTCCATCTTGTGGTAAAAAAGGGTATTTCCACGTCGGAGCAAATCGTGCTGTGGAAGGGAGAAGACGTGTGGGTGAGGAGGGGTAAAGCTGGAGGTATTGATGCTCAGGAACACCCAGTGGAAAACGTGAATTTAAGCATCAGGAAAGGTGGCTCGAGCCTGGCGAGGTCTCTGCTGAAGCCCAGAAACCAAGGGGTCCTTTTTCTTTTCTTTTTTTTTTTTTTTTTTTTTTGGTGCTAGAGCAGCTGTGGCTTTCTTGGAGCAAGAGAACTTCACCCCTTGCCCTCTGCACAGTTTCTGCTCCTGGTTGAGCAGCTGCCCAGGTGCCTCTCTGGGGTGCCCCGGGGCTGCTTTTTCTCCTGTCAGGCAGGTGATTTCACTGTCAATCCTCCGTGGGTGCACAGAAAACCAATGGGCAATGCCATGGGAAGCTGTCTCTGCCCACGGCTCTGCTTGTCAGCAGCAGCTGTGCAGGCCCACCAGAGACGGGAGCAGTGCACGCTGCAGAGGCTGGCAGCTGCCCCAGGGGCACACTGCTTAATCCCTGCTCGTTAACCTCTAGCTGTGACAAGGTGGATAAGGCCAACGATGATGTAAACAGTAACAATAATAATTTCTCCCTCAGAGGAATGCTGTGGAGAGCCCTAATGAAATGCTCACATTCTCCAGCAGCTCACATACCTGTAGATAAGGAAAGAGTCAGGGTGCAGGGTAAGCGCGGTGCAATGAGTCTGTCCTGCCCCAAATTCCTCCCTGCCTTGCCTTTGCTGGCGGTTGTGCTGCTCCCCCTCGGGGATCCCCGACTTGTCCTCCTTATGGGCCTGAAGGGCCACCCCTACAACATTTGTTGGATGACTGGTGAACAGGCTCACCTCACATTTGTGCTGACACCTTTGAAAAATGACTTTGATTCTCTCAGTATACTGTTTCAGTGATTCATTCTTTATGTGCATTTACTCAGCGGACGTGAGTGGGGAAATAAGATTGATGCTAAATTTATATGTTAATTTTAATATTGAAGCTATCCTGTATTTGAAGAATAAGATCAATTCTTCAATTTCATTTCTTACATGATATTGCATATTGTCATTACTGGAAAATAAAATTATTTCTGAATGCATACTATCCAAACTTCAATTTTAGTGGACATATAACTCTGAAGCATCATTCTTTTCCCTTTCCTATAACAACTAACTTAATACAGTATTTTAACATTCTCGCACTAGTGTGCCACTGGAAGATAACAAAGACAAGTCTTTTCACCCTAAATGGTGTTTCGTTAATGTGCTCCCTGCAGCATTCTGCACTGTCACAGGCAGATGCGGTGCATGACTCAGCAGGCTGTTGCATGTATGATACAACAGGAATCTCGGTTAAGAGTTGTGTCCCTCACTAGAGACTAATTCCATTCATTTCCACAATAGCAGCAGTGCTTGAGAGCCATAGCCACAGCTACATGCAAGGCATGCCTGCATACAGGATGAATCCTGACCTGAAGTGGAGGATCAAACCCTTGGAGCACTACCAGGAAGCAGACCCTGTAGAGGATGGACACAGAGCATCACATGCACAGAAAGATTTGACACCTACAGAGAGAGATGTACTTTAAGGAGGTCTGCTGCCAGAGACCAGGCTCTCCTGAAGCTGCAACAGAAAGAAAATATTTGCAGCATCTTTGGGAGTGTGGTTTGCTATTTTTTGTCTTCGCAAACTGTACAGGGGATTAAGCTGAGGGATAGATAGCAGGAACATTTGCAAGGTTACATCCTTGCTCTGTCCAGGAAGATCACATAGGTCAGTTTAAATTTCAGGTGTCTCTTTTTCCCTCTCCATGAGATAAAGATAACTGCTGCAAGGATTTAATGGTTATTATCTGAAAATTCTTAAAAAACTTAAGTGCTCTGTAGATATGAGAGCAGAGCATAGTATTGACCAGAGCACGTAGTATAAGATTTTGTTTCTAATTTTTTTCTTTCCCAGAGAGAGAGGCTATAGCTTTTCAATAGCTGAACAGTGCTTGCCTTCAGCAAGAGAGTTCCCCTGAAAAGCTAAGGTCAGGATAATCCTGAGATAATCCTGAGTCGGCCACTGTCATGCAATCGCTAAAAGT